CTTCTTAAGGTTCCATCAGTTGATAGAGTCTTTTTCTTTTGTAAGGAGTACGCTTTTGGTTACCTCATCGATTTAGCGTGGGAATACTAACATGCAAGGGCGGCTCAAGGTTTGTTGGGATAGAAGCATTTCGAAATGCTGAATCAATTGCTCTTCAGGTATGGGAGGCATATTTGGAGTGGCCCAACTTGAGGGATTATCCAGAATCGAAGCGCTGGAAAATGGTAGGTCGCCCTATGACTTCGTACAACCCTCTCGGTTCCCTAAGTGCTACTGTGATTGCATCCGATAACATCGGTTGATATGCGTAGTCGCGCCATGGCCAACAATAACATCAGTTATAAATCCTATTATTCAGTTTATTTGAGTAAACTCTCGCTTAATCTTCTGCTATCAAACCCGCCATTTCTGTAGTTTGGCGAGACCACCACCGGAGGTTTCTTCTCGTAGAACCGTAGATGGTTCAGCATAGTTCGGCATATATTGCTGGCTCTTGGAAACCTGGTCTGCAAACTCAAGACCTGAATATCGCTATGGAATGCTCCGAATATAACATTGATCTGATGGGAGATTTGAGAGGACTGGGAGCTCAGTACGTATTGGAATGATACTGCATTCTATGTGTGTTCAATACATTTATTAAGATTACTAGCAGGCGAACGCTGCTACAACCGACTTGGACAGTTGGTCGATGCAATGTCCAATAGGGCACCTCACCGTATAGGTCACCGCAAAATACCAAAAACCGGGAAGTGATGTTTGGGCCTTTGAACTCCCAGCGAGTATGCAGGGTTTGATCGCTGATCTCCCGGGAGAAGCCGCATTGTTTGGATGGACTAATTTCATATCGGTTTCAGCCAGGGACATAATATTCATACTCCGACGATAGCTGCTCCGGTAAGACATCCATTCATGCCACTTTCCATCAATGGCATGAACACAGGGAGCAGCTGATGAAACATTGGCTGCGGATGGCTTTGGTTCGGGCTGGCTTGCCGTTTCCTGCAAGTTACCGGCCTGAACCGCGATAGGGCAAGCTTTGGAACCATCTCGTTCTGGCCTACCCTAGGCACGTCGGATGATTTCCAGAATGCGGGGAGAGCCACGATCAAACGAGATAACACCTGCTGTTTACACAATGGAATTGATACCTGCATTTGCTCCCTGCATAGAGGGGCCAGCATTAGATGGCATAGCGTCGAGATACACCGCAAAGCGTCTCCATTCATTCGGCAAGTACTGCATATGTAAGTGTATACACCAATGTAGGGACAAGGAGCTAAAACGATGGACCAGGCAGTGAACAATGGCATTGGATGATGTCCCGCCCTGACCGTCTCGATGACCTGTCAACGACCCCCATCCCACACAATTAAATATGTTTCAATATCAACAAATTATGAGGAAATCACGCGAGAATTATCGACCCTGGCACCAACTTATCAGATCCACGAGTTCATGCTGTGACACCAAAGAGCTGAATTTAGCTCGATACCAGTCCCTAATAATCACAGCCTAGTAAAATAGGAGGCCAGCTAGGCCATTTTAGTGCCGTCTCGCCCAAAAGGTGCCTGTCCAGTCATTGCCAGCTCAGAAAAATTGTCCGACATCGGCGCAATGGCTCATAGGCTGCCCTCTGGGTGTTTGGCAAGGGACGGACGGATTTATTTATTGCATCCGCGCCAGAGTTCCCAAAGTGCCCAGGTACTGCCTACTTCAGCCCCCCAGCCGCTGCCCACGCACACACCCCCTTGTGGAGGCGCCCAGGTCACACTCCATCCCCGGTCAAGGTACCTGCCTACCTCCAACAATCGCAATCCAACGCTTGGCCACATGATGCCGCCAATACGCAGGTGAGGTAGGTACCTGGCAATATTACTGAACCGTATTCCGTTCGTTCCTGTGCCCGCGGCGCACGCGGATGCTTCTAGGTCACTTGCGTATTATCGCCAATGCTGCGTATCGAAGAAAGTTGGGGGAGTGGTCGGTCGTTGCCTCACAAGACCACCTTCTGGACCCTCCCCGGGTTTTCATGTGCAGATCGCCTTTTTCCATTTCCCTTTTGTGAAGGCCCGGCTGGAGGTCTCTCGCGGTGTGGGTTGTTCATGCCCCAAAAATAATGAGGGGGAACGACAGGCTTGGCGGGCGATTGACTACGTGCTAATAAGGCGTGGGCGAAATGGGTTGATGCTGGAGCAGAATGGCCCCAGAAGCGCGCTCTCTGGCTCCCTCTCCCGTTTCCCTGCCGCTGGCCCGTCTAACCTGCTACGTAGGGTCCTCCCCATGGGATGAAGCGGTGTCGAGGGGCAAGGTGTGTAAAGCGTGCTCACCGAACAAACTGGCGCCGGCCAATTGCACTATCTGCCCGTAGAAGGCCATGGAAGAAAGGAGACAGCGCTGTAATTAGACGGCAGGTAGCCTGATAAGTGCTCTAACCTTACCAACCTTGGGGATGTCTTGCAGAACGAACTCGCTAAGCATGTACCTTGCCAAAGCCGGCTGAGGAGGGGGAAGGGCGACGACCAGGGGGGAGGGGCGTGTACAAGCGTGTTGTTCAGTGAGTAGTGGGACTTACTTCGATGGGCCAATACTGGAGGAATAAGATACCTTTCTTACATACACAGAAATAAAAGTGGTGCTTCCACTTTCAAGATACGAATGATGCTGTGACGCGAACATCACGAAACAGAGCGTAGCATGTCCATTGGCAATGAATGTTCGAAGCCCCTCTTTGGCCAGGTCAACGACTGCGTATACTGATGTGTGGAGAGGAATTGGAGTCTTGGCATGGAAGAAAAATGGAAGAGGAATATCTTCTTGACTGAGGTTCTGGCCATGTTCGTGAGCACATGTTATCTGTGGTACCTACCTTAGCACTGCGGCTTATGCATCCATCCACTGCCCTGGTGCCTGGGTACTTGGGCGCCAGCAGTAAAGCAGGCGGGCACTCAAGTACCCGGTCCTAGGCCATCAAGGGCCATTTACTTCACACGGGCTGCATTGCGGCATCCGCCCTGCGAGGGTGGCGCTCCAAGTCGCAGTTTGGCGAGCCAGCGTCTCATCGCAGCGAGGGAACACCGTGGGTAAGGTCTCAGCTGAGCAAGCCGCAATGGATTTCGGGGGCCATCATCCGGCCGAGGCAGGACGTAATATGTCCATTTATTACCACTTGCTCAACCTGGAAAATGAGGAATGAATAGGTAATATAATCATCTGTTATCTGCCATAGTAATACTCCATCAGCGTGGATGGATCTCGGGTAAACGCAGCACCTGCTTAGAATGGAATTGTGCATGACATGGGATCGATTGACTATTTGCTGCATGCCCTGGGCTAAGGCACAATAGTTATGAACAATAGCGAATTGCTAACCATATATTGCTGGTGTATATGGACTCTGGTACATATGAGGATTCTGATCATCTTGTGGAAAAGTTTAAAGGGTTGAAGATGAAGCGGCAAGTCTTGTTTATGTGCATAGAGTCCTGGAGCAACAGCGTGTCGAGGGAGAATCCACATCTCATCGTCGATTGTAGCCATCTTTGCCCCTCTTTCGCTTGTCATGGCATTTACATTTGCTTTGGCGTATGTTGCGTTTAGCTCTCTGCCCCAGTGTTACCGAATTGAGTGGGCACTGCGATGTGGCCATTCAGTCCCGCTGGGAGATTTATTACATCCCAGTTCTCGTTTCAACAGGTGGACCGGGGATTTGCATCCGTACTGACAACGCCGTCATGTTTCATCTAATAAAAACCATAAGATTCCTGGCCACCACTCCTGATGCCGGCGAAATAAATCACTCGAATGGATGGGGACAATGTTGATATTGCACGCCGAGCGGGGAGAGCAATTGCGCGGATGTGTAGCTGAATCGGTCGAAGCCTGGAAGTCGTTTCCCCAGGATCTGCCCGTACTAGTACATAGCACATCCCGTAGCCGACGATTGTGTTCGACCCCAGGCCGCGAGAACCAATTGGATGCAGCCTAGCCGGACGCGCAAACCAGGAGTGATCGGCGGCCAGCAACTGCGGTTATGCCACGTACGGAGAACAGCCGAAGGCAGCGAGCCTGCTGCGACCGCCGCGGGACCTGTTGAACACAGCCGTGATATTCAGGCACACTCGGGCCCTTCCGTCGAGTATAACCGTTCCCTGGGTCGGGCTTCCTGCGTGCAATTGGACACATCGTCAATGACTCGGTGCCCTGGCCCTCCGCCTGGCCACTTTCACAGTCTCGAATAAATCCAATAATGTTGTGTGGCGCTAACTCCAGTTCCAACGCGCAATTGAATCGCCGTGCCCTCCCTCCATTTGTTCGTGTGAAGGGTCTAGTACCGGCCGTATGCAACCCTCTCGTCGGTCCATCTCTCGGGAATCCTGGCCTATAAGCTCACGGTGGCAATTTGGGCCCTCATCCAACATGGCTACCTGCGCGACCAATCGAAGTGACCATTGCAACACGAGCTACCTGGGTTAAAAAAATTTATTTCCCAAACAATTGATGAACAGACAAACCAAGTCAATGGATCGTGAAAATTTTCTTGCTGACGATACAAGGGAGGACTGGCCTTGCATAACAGGCCCCCTTCAACTGTCGTTTCATTTGGATTCGTGTACATCTACTTAGCCTTTCATCTGACAGAATGTTAGTGCCTCGCAGCGGCCAATCCCTAAGGCCTTGTTTGCGAGGGAGCCAGCGCCGTCTGACATCTACTGTACTTTATTACATGTAATTGGGGACGTGCCTTGCATGACTGACTGTCTTGACTTTCCGGTGACCTGGACAACGACGAACGGTCTCGGGAAGCCAGGTATGTAAGCGCACATATATCATATGTTATGAGGCTAGATCGTGATCGTGGCTTTGAAATTTTTTCTTCGCTCCCCCTTCCTTCATTAAGACCTTCAGCTATTCCCCCGATTTGCGTGGATGGTTAAAAAAGTCCTCGGGATCACAGATGAGTAGGGTGATACGCTCACACCATCACCGGCTGGAACACGTTATCCGGCACTCTGATTGGCTTGTTGCCGCTCTCCCCCTGCCACACCTTGGCGACCCAACCCGCGCTTGGTGAAGATCACGGTAACGTTTCCGTCCACTCGAACCTTGATAATGAAGACAATATCGGAAGGGTTGGGGAAGGAGAAAAAAATTGAAGAAAATTTGCCAACTCAATTTATTGGGCGGCGAATGGGAGCTGCGGGTTTAACCCCCCCCCCTTCTCAGTCAGCCCTGTCTCTCGTTCTCCCGATGCGGCGCTCTTGTTTTGGCTGCATGAGGATTCAGACGGAATACATTTTGGGGGGTGTATGCCCAGCTTTTGGCCAACGCGGCATGGAATTTTTTGAGAACAATATGGGCATTGGATCTCATTCCAGCGTGCCTGGATCACTTAGATGACGCAGACAGCAGAAAGGCTTGGAACTGGCCCACTGGGCTTGGAATACTCATACGCATCGTAATAATAGAAACAGGCGTCTTCATTGTCTACTATAAGCCTGGCCGCAGCACATGCCATGTACATGGCAGACGCGGAAGTCGGAGGTTGTGGAGACCTCTTGGATCTCGGGCGCCATCCTTGGAATTCTGTCATTCTGAAGGAACATGTCATCATACATTGCTCATAACAACGCAGCGGGTAGTAAGCATGGCTGGTAATACGGCTACGATATCCAAACGGGCCATGAGGGCTTAGGGCTTCCAGGTTGTACGCGGCTGCTAAGGTTGAGTGAGGGTTTCGCGTTAGGGTTGGGGTTTAGGGCAACCGGCCCAACAACGCGGGCGATTGGTTGCCCTGTTTCCAGCCATCGATGATGTGAAGGGAGATCGCTCAGGAACAAGATTCCGGGGGGATGGATCAGGTCGGCCGTAATCTTGGCCTGCCCGAAGATAGGCGCTTCGGCGGGCAGTTTGGCGGCTGCGTCGTCTCTGGGTCCGGCAATAATTTAGGAAGGGGGCATAGAGCGCAGCAGGGCGTCTCAATTTCACCACCAGGTCCAACACGGTCGTCTCATTCGCCGCTGGCCGCCTCGAGCTAGCCCTTCTGCTTGGAGATGAGACGAGCGGGCGGCCCAGCACTCAGAGCTGCCCTACTGCTAGTAATGGCTATTCCAGCGGCCGACTACTACTCCTTTGGGGCATGCATGCAGCAGCAACATCAGATATGGATGGCCCCCGTGGGAGGCTATTTACTTGGCCCCATTTCGCCCTGGTTTGGCTTGGGTGCTCCCCCGCTGGGAGAAGTGGACAGGGGGCTAGCGATTGCAAGGTTAGGGCCAGAAAGGAGACGTACCGCATCCTTGTGATCGATCAGCAGTGTTTCTTCTCGATGTAGGCGAATCTCGATGAGCCTTTTGGGTGGAGGAATTTTGTTCACCCATCAACCATCACCGATATTTTTTTTTTCCGCAATGCCTTTTCCCATGGCTCTCACTAACCTTGCACGAGCTAACGTAGCCCTAAAACACGGAAAGATGAGGGCCTCGTGCCCGACCGAAGTACCGCTGTAATTCAACTCTGGGCAATATGAGCTGTCTAATTCTGGAAGCTTCGGTTAATGATGTGTACCTTCGGATGCTGCTCCCAACCAATTGGTAGGACGAAATTCTTAGTGGTGTCTGGCATACAGCGATCCGTACAATTAGGGAGACAGAAGTGGTGACATTATAGCTGGCAAGACATATAACACGCTGCATCGCGATGTGTTCCTGTGCTGGCCTACCACCTACCACCACCTATCACCACCATCACTGACGCTACGACTACATGCAATTGCTGGGCTCCTGCTGCTATCGTGAGACCACTTACAGGCAAACACAGCATTAATCACCCAACAATTTCTTCAAGACTGACAGATGCCGTCCCTAAACAGCCCATAAAAAAGCAAAATAACGTCACCCGCGGCCCGGCAGACGGCGCTCATCACTCAGATCATAAATGGGCACAGGGCCCAACACGCTGCCTTGGAAGCACGGTAAATTAGCGGCTTTACTCAGCCCCAACAGCCCCCATTAGGGAACAGCGCACTCTGGGTACGTCCATTCCCGTCATTGTCAGGTCAGGCCAGCCCCAGGTGAGGTCAGGCCAGAGTCTCAGTAAACTTTTGGGGCCACGCCCCCCCGGTCCCCCCTGCTGTTCAGTGGCTGCGCTGAAGCCCACAGGGAGGTAGGTAGGCCAGGTACTTTGTCCTCGCTGGCTTTGGCCCAGCGAGGCGCCTGTACTCAGCAGATTGAAGGGGGGAGGGGGAGAGAGGGCCTAAAGAGGTACCGGATACCGCAGGCCTCCGCGTCCACTTTACCCATCTTCAGTCTGATGATCAGCCAGGATCACCCGACCTGCTAATGATTCCACACCCTCTCCACCTCAGTAAAGTGGTTTCTTTGGCCCAAACAGTACCTCTGTGTTCGTGGCCAGGTGAGAGCCATGGCTCCCCAGGTCTGGCCAATTCGACGGCGACAGGACGGGATGGCATGAAACAAAGGGAAAGAGACGCCTAGAATCTTTTTTCCTGGCAGTCTAGACGTGGCGGCCGGAATTGCCGTCGTCTTGTTCTGCCCTGTGGCTATTCTAGGACACAGGCTGTAATACTCCGTTGCGAGAGGCACCTTACAGAGGAATGAATACCTCTAATGGGCTCATCTCGAATCCACCACCCACACAGGCTCAACTCCACACAGCCACTCAGGACAGACACCCCATCGCCGACGACTGTGGCTACAAACGCTGGGGCTAGGGATATGTTACCTGGCTCGCTGAGGCGCACGCGCAGGCGAGACGCATCAGTCTGGGATTAGTCAGTGAGGGGAGTGGGTAAGTCCATACACCTCACCTACCAAGACTCTCCCAGGTGACAGCGTGTAGGAGGAGATGAGCCAGGCGATATACAGGCGCGCTCACCTGGGCCACACCTCCAGACAGAGGTATCTCGAGACTTGGGAAGGGGGGCCCACCGGCCCCGGTCCAGGCAAGGTACCTGCTACTCAGTGTTGGTTCACCCCTCTGCGCTAAGTCACCTCCTCCCCAGGCTCCATCACTACTGCCTACCACTGCTGTAAGTCTCCCCATCAGTGTATACGTACGCCCCCCTCCCCCCGCAATGCCACACACACACACTCCCTTCCAGTGGCTCCGAACGCTCCTCCTCCTCCTCCTCCTCCACCAAAATTATTATTTCTCCTTCTCTATTATTTTGCTCGACAAGAAATTCTTCCTTGACTGTATACGCCCAGCTGTTCACCTGTCCCTTACCTGCTTGCTTGGCTCCGTGCTTCAAAGCCCCCCTACGCCGCTAAATCTACGAGAACGCTACGGTCCGGACAGGTGTCTGTCCTCGAGCACATCCTCCCTCAACCGCAATGGCATCTTCTCGGGTATGACTTGTCTCTACATCATTCGTTGACTGAGGAGAGAGGAGGAGCCTGAGACGCCTGGCTAGGGCACATTGTAATGCCATTAGCCAGGCGTGTCCCAGGCTCCTTCTTCCAAGAGCTGGTTCCAGCTGTTCCAGATGCGAGTGAGCGAGCACTGTGCTGACTGTCTTTCTTCCCCAATGGACAGGAAATGCAGCCTTCCGTGAGGCCATTGTCGCATCGACCATCGGTTTCGAGCCCTCCGTCGAACGGCCCTCCCGCGCGCCAGACCCATGCCCGCAACAATTCCCACTCCCTCTTAACAAGCTCCCTCAACCCCAATCACCGTGTGACTCGCCGCAAGTCGGTTACGAACCCTAGTGCCAACGTTGCCGCTCTCACGGCTGCCCTTCGAGATGCCAATGTCTCCGCCGCCGTGCCGATTGCGAACCCCTCGTCTCGACGAAACACAATGTCCAAGGGCGCCCGTATTGTCTCCGGGCAGAACAGCCTTCCGTCTCCGCCGGCCAGTCTCCCAAACAAGGGCATGGCCGACGTGAAGCGTGATATGACTGGTAGTGCCATTGATGATACCAACGACAGCTCGGCCGATGAGGATGGATCGAACCCTCAGAAGTCCCGTACCCGACGTGCTAGTGACGGTCAGCCCCTGACCAAGGACGGCAAGAAGAGCAACCGGGCCGAGCTTCGATGCGAGAAGTGTGGTAAGGGGTACAAGCACAGCAGCTGCCTGACGAAGCACTTGTTAGTCTCCCTTTTGGCATCTCCCTGTGTGGTCCCATCCCCACTTCGTATTGTGCATGTCCAGCATTTGCCCAGAGTGGGATGAAGACAATGTGACATTTGTTGACTTCTCTGGCTAGGTGGGAGCATACTCCTGAATGGTCATATACTTCTAAGCTGCTCATATCCAAGCATCAGCAAGTTCAGCTGCTTGAGGCCGCTTCGGTCTTGGTGGCCATGAATGACACTGAGCAGGAAAGGTCACCCACACCTCCTCACTCAGCTAAAGATTTCCCCAGCGACCGAGAGTCATCGTCCCCTGCTGCATCTGGGTACTCTGAGCTGGTAGATCGCCAAAGCTCTGCGGACACTACTCCGCCACCCATGTCTGAAGGTCTTAACTTTACCACGCCATCGTATCGTAGTAAGCGTCACAGCAGCATTGCCGGGCTCTCGAGGAGCTATCAATCAGCTCCTCTCTCCGCTCACCTCACATCAGGGAGCGTACCACATGGACACGGGTTCGGTCACTCTCGCCAGCTCAGCACCGACCGACCAACATCGTCAGGTATCAACACCACCAACCAAGACGATCGGGATCTTGCTGCCGCCGTGGAATTGCTGAGCTGCAGTTTTGGTAGCAACAATGGCTCCCGGGGCACAGTGACACTCCCCGCAGATGCCCCTCCCGTGCCTCCTGTCCCTATGCAGTACCTTGAGCAGGCTACCTCATTCAGCAGCGCGGGCTTTATCAATAGCTTCCCAAGCCGACAGCCAGAAAGCTTCACCCGTGGAGAGTTCCGACGGGGAAGCCAGGATGTGAGGATGGATGGCAAGGCTGACTCAGTCATGGATGATGACGAATTTGATATGCGATCCCGTGCTCGAAGTGATGAGGACGATGACGGTGTATTTGGTCGCATGGAGGAATAATCATTGCTTTTGTTTACGCATTAGTATAAGGTGGCATATCTCGGAGTCGGGCACACATTTATGACTCGGGAGTTGGATTTGATAGGCATTAGCCGGGAGGATTCGGTCTTTTTTGTTGTTACTTTTCTCATTTTTCCATTTTTTGTATCAGGATAGCCCCGACTTGTATGAGGTGGTTCGCTCCGCCGCCAATCCTTAGCACCGAAGAGTGGAGGGCCCGTCTGGGTTGATGGGAACATCGATATGGACGCGATAGCATCGCCACGAGGTTAAAGTGAGGATTAGGAAGGGCGTCGAGCGAACACCCACCAAATATATGAAATAAAGAACTCGAAAACTCACCAACAATGAAAGAGGGGCAGTATGGGGTGATATATATCGTCGACTTGCATCGGATCTTCGCTGCGTGACGTAAACGAGAGAGCAGGTGCTGGGATCAAGGAAGGCCAAAAAGGCAGGAGATCGTGGGAAAAGGGTTGTCGGCTCGTTGGAACCAGATCTCTTCCCGGTACGGGCATAGAGACGGGCATAAGAGATGAGAAGGGGTTCAAATGGTCGATCGCTCGGCGGACCTTTGCCTGGAAGCATGCCTGTTGGTTGGGATATAAGCGAGGAGAAAGTGATCGGCCGCCCTCCTGAAGAAATCGCGGCTGTCTTCCCGAAACATGGTGAGGTTTGTCAGATTTGCTTGCCCTGCGAGGGGAAGAGCTTGATAAGAAGAAGATGGGATTAAAGAGGTGACGAACGAAAGAGGGAGCCCAAAGATAGGGAAGGGGTGGTTTGGCCAACTCGCTTGAACGTATTAGTCTAACGAGCGGGGAGGATGATATTAGCTTTCCCAGTTGACAAGTACGTCAGATCGTAGATCTTGAGGAGTGAGGAGGAGGAGAGGGAGATGGGGAGGAAAAGCAAAGAAGAAAAACATCGGTAAGCCTAAACGCGTCGATTTCGACGACTCTAATTAATAGATGAGAGCGCCTGCACTCATCGCCAAATGCTTCTTTCCCCTTCTCTCCCTGATCGCATGCAGCGTGGGATCGGCCATCGAGATAATGGCCGTGATAGGCGACCAAGTGGGGGCCGCAGTGCGGTGCAGAAGGAAGAAGGAGGTTTCCCCAGTGATGTCTGTGGGAGGGGAGCCCCACCAACTGACGATGATGCGGGACCACATCATCAACAAGCAGCGGTCCATGACAGCCTTATCGTCACACTTCTGCGCAGACCCGTTTGCTTCCCGCCAACATCACCAGAGGACACACGCCTCTCTGGCTACGACCGCCTGGCTCTTGTCCGGAAACTACTATTTATCAAGCCGTGATTGTTTCCCTCCTCCGGCCAGGTCTGACTGTCCGAACGAACCTACGTAGTAGGTAGCTAGCTCCCGGCGGCTCGTGCCACACTCTCTCTGTCTTTCCTGCCTTCCGTCTTCTTTGACCAACACCCCTTCCTGAGACACCACCCGGATCGCTGTATGTTATAGACATACAAGACCATAAGTAACCGACTTTACGAAACGAAAATGGCACCCTCTAGACGAAGCGCCAAGGCCGCAGCTGAGCCTCACGCCAGCCCGGCCGTCCGCAGCAACGAGCTCACCGTCGTCGAAAAGATCACGAAAACGGCGGAACTTGCAGTCCCGAAAGAAATCACCGCCGTAGCCAAAGGCCATGCGGCCCGCCCGACACTACCTACCCAAGCCCAGTTCCCTCTGGCGGTGGCCTTGAGCTTCGTAACCGCCGGCATTGGCTATCGTATGCTGGGAGAGCTCACAAACAACGAGCTTGCGGCCGTGACCGAGGCCCAGGATACGTGGGGAGAGGTGGCAGTTCTAGCCGGTTGGAAAGTGTAAGTTGGTTTCTCCTCTCGGTCTCTCTCCAGAGGCGCACAGCGCCACGAGCATTCTTGACCGTCAGATGTCAAAGACATGGCGTTGGGGTAGCATTGATATGGAGGCTTGCTGACATTCTGTGACAGGTTTGAGCTGGCTGTCGGCTGGTTCGGCAATTTAGACAGCCTTGATGTTGCGACAATGAACCTCTTGTCGCATGGACCGGTTGTAGGTCCTCCCCCAGAACCCGGCCTGGTCCCGGTGACTTGCTGATCGCTTCTCCCCAATAGTTCTATCTCTTGAGCACCTTCTACAACCTGAGACCTACGACGGCTATATCCGCTCTGCTCGTTGACATTGCCTCTGTGGCCTTGCCCTTCTACGGCCTGCGCCCTCTCTCGGCAGTCCACACCCCTTCCGCCAAAGTCCCCAACCGCGAGCTCACGGATATCGGCCTTCAGATCTACACGGCTGCTCTCGCGACTGGAATCTACACCGTCGTCATCGTGCTGTCCCTGCAGTTCCTGCTCCCCCGAGTCCTGATCCTCTACTTCTCCCACCTCCCAACCCTCGTCCCCGCCTACACGGCATCGTACGCGACCCTCCTCCCCGTGACGGTCGCGTTCGGCGCCTCGGCCAGCAACTTCATCTTCGCGCCCTTTGCGACCACGGGCAAGGCAAGGGAGGACGAGCGCATCGGCCAGTTCGACCCTGCGAGCGCCAGCCTGGGTGAGACCGTCTGGTGGAATGTGTGGGGGTACACCGCAAAGACCAAGGTCGTCATCCGTCGCACGGCAATAATCGCCCTCGTAACGGGCATCAGCACCTACCTGTCCTGCACGATGACAATCTACGGCGTCGAGCCGACAGGTGCCGCGGTCTACGCAGCCGTCTGGGTGTTTGCAGCCCTGTTCTCAGGTGTCGGCCTGGGCCTGGTCGGTGGAGATTAATATCAAATCGCTAGGTAGAGGCCTGGTCCACAGCTCTGTTCAGCCCTACCGGACGGAAGAAGCATCCGCCAAGGCGTATTTTCCCCTATGTAGCGGTATTTTGAGGCCTTACACTTGTCTGCCGCCCCTACTAGTCTCGTGGGTGCATGGTCATATCAGTAGCGTGTATGTGGTGCGACAAAGTCCGGGGCTTGGGTAGGTTGGGATCGCTAGGAGTCTTTACTTGAGGGTCAGCAGTGGATATGAGGGAGGCTTGGAGAGCTCTGTTCTGATGGGCTGGCTGCCGTAATACACCCTTTTTCTTGTATATTTTTAGTTTTCATGGCTGAGCCTTCAGTCAAATATTTCTGGGAGTTAAAGATAGAATGATCACCACTGTTGCGGTCTGACGTAGCACCGGCTAATATGAAATGATACCTACATGCAGGAGGGTTGTGGCTGGCTGCAGCTTGCGAGCGACGCCTGGAAGCTTTCCAACGGCCTCCACTGCATTGACCGCCCGCGAATAGCATGGCGGCGGGTGGGTAAGGCACTGTATCTAAATAGAACTCCCGCCATGCGGGTCATCAGCTTGTGTTTGGCGTCTTAAGTCTCGTGTTCTGTACGAAGCTAAATGCCCACGCAGATCCGGGTCAGGCTACGCATTTGAGGAATTCCTGCTCTTGGCGCCGTAATTGACCTGTCGTAGCATCTCCCGCGGTATCCTGGCCAAAATTGGGTGGACATTATCGCGGGGCAGCACAGCGCCTCCCTCTGTCCTCAACAAGCCCGGTGGGAAATCCTAAAACCAATTTTAGAGCTGTCCTTATCCTTCTTCTGTCCAAGTCACCCCTCGTTCCGGCCGCAAACCCAACACCTTCAACGGCCCCCCCCTTTCCCCCACCTCCATTTAAAAAGTCCCGTGCCAACTACAATCCCTCGTTTGCCATAGTGGTGGGCTAGTCGAATAGCTTCCGACCGTCTTGTCGGCTGTCAGAACTGCAGGGCCCACTTCGGTCGCCTTACCAGCAAGTGAGTTCACTGGCCCCTGTCACTCACCCTTTCAAAAACTTGAAGAGGGGCGTTGGAGCATGATTTGTTAAAGCTCTCACAGTTTTGCCTGCAGCAACGGGCTCGAGCACGCCAATTGTCGAACCGACTAGCCGCACCCATTCCCTGCAGTCTCGAGACGCCTTGGTCCGTCTCCATCTACCGCTAGCGACGGAGGGAACCATCAGAGAGGGTAGACGACACCTCACTTACTGAGCGGAGGGAAAGTACTGTGGTGGCATGTGATGACGGCAACGCCCAATGTTGTATTCACCCAAGCCCTTCTCGCTGCAATATCTATAATGCCTTTGTATGCTGTTAGCCTCTGGTGATAATTGCGACCTATATTCCACTGTTTCGTCGTGGTAGGAAGTCTGACTCAAGCTATAAGATGAGTTTCTTCTCCGCGTCATCTCACAGCGCGGAGAACACGCCTTCGACGACGGCAGCTAGCGCTCCAACCACGAGCAGCCCGGATTTTGACCCCGAGGCACACCCTAGTGAGACTACCTCACCAGAAACCACCCACGCAGGCCAAACGGCGTCTGGAATGGCGTTTTCCCATAACCCCTCCCCACCTTACGTGGGATTAGAGACGAGTCCAGTGCAATCCACATATCGGAGCTCGCGAAGCATCCAGAGTGATAACGAGCTTGACCTATACGGACCCCTTGATATTAGGGGTTCCGTGAGGTCCGGCGGTAGCATAAACTTCGACGGTGATTTCATCGTGCAAGATACGATCGATGCATACGGCGGCATCAACATTAAAGGCAATGTTCGCAGCGAGTAGGTCGGCACCCGAGCCTGGTTCTCCCGTCTTCCAAATATTCTAACGTTATGCTAGGGGCAGAATAAAGGCGTATGGCAACATTGATCTCAATGGTTGCCTCCAAGCGAAGTGAGTGTGATGTTGCCCTCGGTGGAGATGGAACTGGCCTTGCTGACCCGGATCTGGATAGGGATAAAGTCAAAGGATATGGGAAACTGAGAGTGGTGGGAACCCTTGAGGGCAAAGAGCTCGAGATCTATGGCAATCTCAGCGTCAACGGGCGCCTGTAAGTGCACCCTGCCTCGTCCCTTCGATGTCGTTTGGAAACAATTACTGACAGTGTCTTGATCCGTAAAGGCATTGTAAACGTTTGGTTCTGTATGGGTCGTTGACACTTATTGGGCCCGGTTCAAGTTACCATGTTGAAAACTCGGAAGAGGTAGCGGGGGCTATTTTGAAACGTGATCAAGAGGCTGATTGGGATTGGTGACGGCCGCTTTTGGGCTTCGTTGTCTCTTCCAATTCCCCTCGGAGGACGGGCAGGCCTTGGATCAACTTCATCTTTTCGGCCTCGAATGCATGGTGCTCCTGTTCTCGAGACGATGTGCGGGGAATGACAAAGACTGCTTCGCCTCGTTTGGTAAGAGACCAAGAATCTTGCTCGGGTCAACCTTTGTGTTATTATTGATGAACCTTCTTCCATCATCACCGTTGGATAGAAGTCATACGAAAGGGTCACTTTATGTAGGGGAGCTTGGGTTTCTTCCTTACCTGTTCAGGTTACTGGCCGGACCAGTGGGAACCCGCAAATAGTCGAGGGTTCACAGCTGAGAGCGACCTTTTTTTTTTCTGAGGGGCGGTGGAGAGGAACAAGAGACAGGGTCGATAGCTGAAAAGAAGATTGGGAATCAAAACCAACATGCAACACCAGGTGCGATGAAGTATTCGGGGCTAGAGGAAAGGTGACGATATCGATCAGACGTAACGGCTAGAAGAGAGAAGGAAGGAAGAAAGGAGGAAAGTACGGGTTCAAATCTGGGTCATCAGCTGAACGGAGGCGTGTGCTGCTGCCGTCGACATACATGGTTGTACTCGCACTGGTACCTGTAGGTGGCTCGCCCCAGCTTCAGGCGAGAGTGGGAAGGGTGCACGGACCCGCCGGCACCCGCTGGTGCTGGCCACTGGGGACATCTATGGGGGGCCTAGGGGATTCCAGCCTATGAGCGCCGCCTGTGAGAAGAGCTGGGCTTGGCTGCACGACCCACTCTAGACGACCTGATTGTCTGCTTTGGGCTTGCAACGCGAACCCATCATTGTGCTGCCAGCTGGCCAACCCAACTACCCTACACTTGCAGGTGCCGCAGGACGCAGCGCAGTCCTGGAGCTAGCAGCCTGTGCGCGCGCGCCAGTGAGTTCCAGCGCTGATTGACACGCGCCACCCAGAGACAACGAGCGAATCTGTTTGATGGCAACGACCGAAGCAGCCACAACAGGAGCTTGCGCATTGCTCACTCAACCGCGCACGGGAGCCGTCTCGCGCGCCACTCGCCCTCTTTAGCATTTCTACATCTGAAAGCCACTGCAATGGCTGCCGAGCCCACAGCTGATAACGCGGGCGACACGCTGATGGCCGACCTTTCTCCAAGACAACAGGCTACCCATCGCTTTGACGACGCAAGCCCGAGGCAAATCAGGAAGACGATGGCCACATTTGAGGAACATCGATCGGACCCTGATGCGCAGACCACAGTGACAGATTTCCTCGACTTTACCGAGTACCTACCATCGGATATCATACGCTCCCTTACTCTCATCGAGAAGCACGACCACCAATATGTTGATTCGTCCACCCGGGTCTACGAGCTCACTAAAACATGGGGCCAGCTTCCTACAATGCAGGCGAACGAGCGGCCGTCACCAGTGCAGCTGCGCGCAGACATCTCAGAGCACTTGAACCAGGCGGTTAGCTCCCGCATCTTTGCTCATGCCGAGTCGCTGCGCATGTCCGAAAACGTGAACCGCCACTATAACAAGGCTAAGCTGCTGCTGTCGAAGCTCCAGGCGATGCTGGACAACTATCCCACCGAGAAGCAGCAAGCGTTGAGCCCTGTTATGTCGCGGTCTCCGCAACTTTCCAGGGCCAAGTTAGCTGGACGTTCTGGGGAAGACGGTGAGCCAAAGGTGCGACAGAAGCGGATGCCGAAAATCATGGTTCCTGGTGAGGTTCTTGCACCATATGATATCGAATACGACACCTTTACAGATGGGAGCGACGTCAGTACAGATAATGATGATGACGATGTGCCAGCAACTGTCCGGAAAAACATATCTGCAACGCCCCGTATCAAATTGGTATCCAGCACCCCGAGACCTCCCAAGTCCTCCCATCGCTCTACTCGTCCTGCTTCGCACACAACTCCTGCGAGCGCGGAGGCTGTGGCGGCTCAAGCGGCAGCCCTGCTTAACCCTCCACCAGAGAACGCCCCCATTGGTAGCTCCCATGCGCCTTGGCTTCAACTCACCGAGTATGAGTTGGCAAAGCTGCGAAAGCGGATGAAGAAGAATGCCACCTGGACACCAAGCGAAACGATGGTGGCGAGGGAACTGAGAGCACTTGGTCGTGGCCCTGAGGACTTCAAAGAAGCCAAGAAGAAGGCCGAGAACGAGGGCAAAACCTTTGAGTTTTCGATCCCAGCTGCACTGGTCGATGATGGGTCGGGAACACAGCAGCTTCCGGCGGGTGCCATCAGTGTTGACTCTGCGGCTATAGATGAGCTGCCAATGAGCAACAGGGGGATGAAGCTGAACGAGGCAAAGAAGTTGAAGAGGGAGGCTCTTGCTAAGCAAGCCGCTGAAGAAGCCGAGGAATCAGCTAGGAAGATGGCCGAGGCAGCGAAGCTATTGTTGGGTAGCAATGGGACGCCTTCGGGTGGACCATCAGAGAGTCCGAAGGAATCTGGCGGTAAATCAGTCAAGACGACACGCGCAAATTCAAGGTCGAATGCGAAACGCAAGCGGGATGCCGAGTTATTGAAGGTAGAGAGTGAGACACCGGAAGGTTCAGACTCACCCTCGCGCCCGGTCTTGAAAAGGACAAAGACAGAAACGCCAGTACCCCCTCCGATTCCCGCAACTCCTCGTCAGGCCAGCGTAAACGCAAGCGAGGCACCGACTTCAGAGACGCAATCCCATACGCAGTCTCAATTCAGGCAGCCTACCCCTGGAGTCCAAGGAGGGATACATGTCGAGACCCCAGTGCCGATTCCGATGCCACCTCAGGCGTCTTCTAATTCAAGCACGCCAGCCCCTACCAAACTCCCTTCAAGTCCACCCGCAGCAGATGGTGCCATTCAGGCAGAGAGCTCTTCAGTGTCTCTCAAGCCGCCGGTAGTAGAGACTTCTGCCCCTATGACTCGGTCCGGAAGGCGCAAGTCCAACACGCCAGTTCCACCGCCATTACGCGAACTGCCTTCACGTGAAGTTTCCAGGCGTGAGACTCGCGGAGGTGCTGCCAAACGTTTACAACAACAGCCGCAAACCCCCACAGAGCCTCCAATCCCGCCCCATGAGATTCAGCTGCCGACAATCGAGCAGAGGAGTCGGAGATCAGCCTCACGAGCGACTACGCCGGGAAAGGGCTCCGAGGGGAATCCGGGTCGCCGACCGGTATCGCGAGGTAAATCAGTTGGCCAAGAGTCTCTAGCTGCTGACCGACCACGTCGTGCTAGCACCGCCCGAAACACCCCGGCACCCGAGTCTCGCCCCCCGAAGCGCACCAAGCGGCCTGCCCCCGGTGTCGTGAGCATTACTAGAAGCGGCGGTAACAGCGCCGTTGGTAAGCGAAAGGCAGCACCAAGAAAGAAACCCCGCACCAGAAGGGAAAAGGATCAGGATGGAGAGATGGAGGATGTGGATGATGAGGGCAACCCCATTGACCCAAATGAGCCGCGTTACTGTAATTGTAATCGCGTGAGTTTTGGCACGATGATTCAGTGTGACAATGTTGATGTAAGTTACTCTTAGTTTTGGAGACTATGCTCTTCTCTTTCTTGAATTTTGATGGATTGATTTGCTGATGTTTGCGTAGGGTTGTAAAGGGGAGTGGTTCCATCTGGAATGTGTTGGATTGGATGAGATCCCAGCTCGGACAACAAAATGGTACTGCCCGGACTGTCGCCGGGTCCTGAACATTGGGGAGAGGGGTGAAGTTAGTGCAAGAGGAGTCAGAAAATGAGATGACCGGATCACGAATTGGCGTTGGGGAGTAAATGGCTAAAATGGCAGCGTGGAGTTGAATTTGTTGAGGATCTCAAGCGAACCGTAAGGTATAAAACTGAAGGAATGAGACTAAGGTAGCGCGTGTACATGTTACAATACCTTTATCATGTGCTTTCGAGGTTCGCACCGAAAAGCCATTAAGCGATTGAAGATTCTTAGAAATGATTGCTGGAGTATTCTGTGTGGGTTTTACTGAGATAGCCACCCTGTGAAGGAAATAACACGCTTCGCTGGTAGCGCTTTCCACTATCTTGTTCAACAGAGTAGTAACTTCGGCGACCTTGATCTTAGCATTTAGCTCGTCTATGGCAGCGGAGACGCATGAGGTTGTGACAACATGTCGCTTGGCCTTGAGAGCAGCCTCGACACAGGCCGTGATAGGGAACTAGAATCCGTAGCTGACCACCCTTTAAGTCGTCGGACATCTAGGTGATCTGTGGGAGAAATACCTAGCCAATAAACTGTAGAATCGGAGATACCGGGAAGACATCAACTAAGCTTCTGTTTTAAAAATCCATGGGTCTTGAAGCCATTGATTCACAGGTCGACTTTACCAGTGCCTTCTCTGCCGATGCAGATGATTACGTTAAGTATTGCGACTGCCGGGCTAGATAAAGACAATTCAGAGGAGCCGGCGAAATATTGCTTCTATTCTATTTCAAAGGAGCTTTTGTTGATATCAACCTTAGTTCATACTACAAGTCATGTTATCCTCCCCCTTCCCTGTGATAGGCATGGAGTTAAGAGCATGGCGGCGCCTCGAAGCGTCATAGGAGTCATTAAGCCTGGGGAGAAACTGCAGTCCACAGGTAGCTAAGCGATTCAACGAACCGGGAAATCAAGCTTGCCTCGTCGTGGAAGTTGCGCCTCACGCGGTAGACTGACGGCAGCCGTGTTGGCCCCGGAAGAAGCTTCATGTAGGACGGCCACAGCACCGTTTATTCCGGGTCCGGCGACAAAGCCGGACCCGAGCGGGACAGCAGGCTGAGGGATTTATAATGAGGATGGATGAGTGCAAGGTAAAGCTTGAACTACCATGTTGTTGTTCACCTATTTTGTGGTTGCATTGCAGTAGCACCGTAGCGTTCGCCATGGTTCCTTGAACGGAAGAGCAAACATGGTGGGGGTCTCATCACTTCCATTGCGATGGCGGGGTACAAGATGCGATACGCTACGGTGATGGAGGGGCTCCGATAAGCGGCGCTGTTGGAC